TGAGCCAGCTGGCATCCAACGGTGTTAATGTCTAACTTCAACCGATCCATAATAGTGCGCGACCATCTTCCACTGTCTTTGTTGAGTAATTGCTTCACACCTGATACGGATAAACTCCACTGGAGTTCCATGTTAATATGAGAAGACCCTCTCAGGTTTTCAATGGCGGTCTAACATTTATAGGCTAATGATCTCAATTAATATTTGTTTTGGTGAACACAAATAAAATATAATTCTGGAAATACTCACTGATCAGTAATTAGTAAGACATTCCATATCTATTAATCCTTAGTAATAATCAAATTCTAACGATCAATATGTAATGTGATTACTGGTCTAAGTGACTCGATATCACAGTCCACCATGAAGTTAGCTGGTCGGAAGAGATCAGCAACAAACTTAAAATCCAGGTTTTTAGTTGGTTAATATTCTTCAGTAAGGGTATGTCTACACTTTATTATTAAATGGTTTTCTCATTTGGGACACTGATCTATAAATTCTTTGATTATATATTCACTTTTTCAAAGGCAGCAATTGTGCTTTACTTTAAATAACTAGTCCCAGCTAGTCTCTCATTACTTCCATGGATGTTACTGTTGCACACTTAAAAGTAATTAAATATATAATTATAACTGTAACAATCAGAAAGAATACCAGTCTTTGTTGGGATCTCCTCAGATTTTTAGTACATACAGTTCACTAAATCTAACAATTAACTAGTGATGAAAACAGCTGACATGAATTTCTTAAGTATTGAACATTAAACGTAAGCATAATTTAGTGAAAATTTGAGGTAGTATTCTAACTCCATTCTAGTTTTTATATTATAATTTACACATAAACCATCAGTTAATTATCATTTCTTTTTTTCTAACAAAGATATCCGTTAAGCGAATGGTACTGGGTTTGAGTCCCAGAGTGAACATCAACTCTCTGAGATGCAGGTACATCCAGCTGACGAGTTCAAAATAGGACGAAACGCGCGTCAAACTGGATTCCACTGCTAGCCACTATCCATCATTGCTTACGTTAATCGAAATGAAACTAACATAATACAAGAACAACTTATAGTAAGTTAATGTGTTTATTCATTTTCATAAAATACTTTTGCATTGGACGTTACTTACAAGATTATTTGTAAATAGTGTATAGAGGAAAACGATGTCGAAGTTGCTATAATTGTCAGATGTAGAGAAGAGTTTCAGTGTATTAAAAGCACAGTATTTGAACAACACTTGAAGACCAGATGACAATACAGTTTAAATGGTAGAATACATCAACAATACAATGTACACCTCAACCTATTCATACGCTAGATTTATTCGATGTTAAAAGGGAAAATTATCTTGCAAATTTTTCAATTTCTTAAACAGATCAATTTATATGTTTGTATAAGTAACAATGTTATAAAATGAACTTTTTACAGAACATAACTTTCTACGATAATTTCGGTAAAATAATAAACATTAAAATCTCTAATAATTTTTTTGGAGATATAAATATTTTACGAACAGGTGTGAAGGCGCGAATCGGCAAAGCAAAATCGGCATATCTACAATTGAAGAACATCTGGAACTCAAAACGGCTGTCAACCAACACCAAGGTCACAATTTTCAATACAAATGTCAACACATTTCTACTATATGGAGCGGAAACCTGGAGAACTACGAAAGTCATCATCCAGAAGATATAGGTGTTTATTAACAGTTTTCTGCGCAAAATACTTCAGATCCTTTGGCTAGACACTATCAACAACAACATACTATGGGAGAGAACAAATGAGAATCCAGAGGAGGAAGAAATCAGGAAGAAGTGTTGGAGGAAGCACCCAACTGTGTTACAAGGCGAGTCCTCTCTTGGAATCCTCAAGCTCAAAGGAGGAGAGGAAGACGAAAGAACACATTACTCCGAGAAACGGAGAAAGACATGAGAAGAACGAACAAAAATTGGATAGAACTAGGAAGAATGGCTGAGGATAGAGTGGATTGGAGTATATTGGTCGGCGGCCTATGCTGGACTGGGAGTAACAGCCGTAAGTAAATTAGTAAGTAAGTAATATTTTATGAGGTACATGTAACTTGTATCAATATTTGTTTAGCAAATAAAAGTTAAATATATGTTCCAATACACAATGAAATTATTGATTTCTGAAACTAATTGTTTATAATGAGTGCTTCGTAAATTGAAATGGTGAAGTATAGTTACGGAGGGTGCATACAAGTAATTAAGTTGGTTTATTTACTTCCTACTTAGTAATCATGAAAGAAGTTTCGAACCATTGGTCTTTCGAACATTTATTTTTTTGTTTCAGCACATTTGACTTTATTGTTTAATACTTTCGTCGAGCAATTGGATTTTCACAAGAATACTTCTTACACAGTTTAACAAAAGTTAGTTGACCAATCATACAGGAGTATGATTACTCTATCACTAAATATTAACTAAAGGTCGGCGAGACTATCATTTACGGCTGAAGCAATCAGATTTAAGATAACAGGTCTTGGATTTTTGGTCACAGTTCATTCATCCATTTTGCTAAATAACATTTTGGCATTATAGCTTAAGTCAGTTCTTGATAAAAATCCTAAATCTAACACCTAACCCTAAAGTAAGTGGAAATTCTCAAGGTCAATGTAGTGTCACTCAAGTTATTATAGTCTCACCCTATAGATCTGATGATATTTCCCTTTAAAAATAAAAATACGTGTTAAGGATGATGAAGTTATTAACTTCATGATTTATAAACCAACCGCATTAGTAATAAGTCATTACACTGTGCATGTATTCATATAATTAACGAACATAAACTTATCCGTTAGTATCAAAGTATTTCTTATCTAATGGCAGTAGCTTTATTCTGTAATACAACCAAGGGTGACACGTTTAAAACTGATCTGATCTAATACGCACCATAGAGTTTATTTACTGCTGTGGTATTTATATTAATAAAGGATGATTCATTCCATAATTTACTCCAATCAGTAATCTATTACAACTGGCTTGAATGTTATTCATGATAAAGTATATCAATGGACATAAAACAAGTTTTAATAGGCTACAAATATAGTGCATGTTGATATATATAAGTAGTATGTAGCACCTACCAGAGAAAGATTGTGAAGATTGAATTAAAGAGAAGAGAGAGGAAGACAAAGAGAAACTGTAATAACAAGAGAACTGAAAGAAATCATGAAGCATATAAAGGATAACTGAAGAATGATGTGTAAATAATGTATTTAATGTATGCTTTTCATATTTTATAAATCCATCAGGAATTTCGCATCAAATTAAATTGGTTTCCACCACTTGAATTCTCGTTCATTACATATATATATAATTGATCAAGCTTCTGTTTAAGATCATTAAGTTAGTAATTCTAAGTATTAGGCTAATTAAATTAACCGATGGATAGTAAATACAGTTAAATACTTACATAAAATTGATTATGATCTTTATTCCACATGGCTAATTTTGACTTCATTCATATACCATATTATAAACTAAATGATTACTTAATATATCCAGTTTCATAAAACTATGCAGCTTTTCGTAGTTTAGATAGTACTACATAACTTACTTACATACTCCTGTTACCCTCAATAGAGCATAGGCCGCCGACCAACATTCTTCAATCCACTCTGTCCTCAGCCATTCTTTCTAGTTCTATCCAATTTTTGTTCGTTCTTCTCATGTCTTTCTCTGTTTCTCGGAGTAACATGTTCTTTGGTTTTCCTCTCCTCTTTTAGCCTTGAGGATTCCAAGTGAGGACTCGTCTTGTGACACAGTTGGGTGCTTTCCTCAATGTGTGTCCCATCCACTTCCAACACATCTTCCTGATTTCTTCCACCTATGGATTCTCTCCCATAGTGGATTGTTATTGCTAGTCTGTCCAATGGATCCGAAGTATTTTGCATGGACAACTGTTAACAAACATGTGTATCTTCTGAATGATAACTTTAGTAGTAATACTCCAGGCGGAGTTGATACCATATAACTAGTACTAATAAAAAGCCTTGCTCGATGTGTTTAATCATATTTAAAGTGAAACAGTTATCCGCTTACAGTTTCGAATAATTGTGAGTATACTGAGAATTAAAATGCAAATTACAAGATTCTAACCAAGTAGTTATGAATCCTTAAAGATTTGAATTTGAACACGTATAGCGTTGTGAATGAGTACCATCGAATATTTATTGACCAGATGATATTAGTTCAATATTAAATCTAGTTTTGACTATAACTAATCATTGATCTAACATCTTGAAAGTTTTTTTCAAAAGTTACTATGAATTTTATATTTAAATCTATTCATTTTGTTACGTGTAAAAGATAAATCATACAGCGTTTAATTATAATTTGGAACGTCTTAGAATTCGAATTACTCTTAAGGGAAAACGTTCATTCCGTTAGTCAGTCAGTTAGTCACAACGTAGAACTTCGTACGTACGTACGTACGGGTTGCCACACCACATCAGCACAGAGATACAATTGTCGATTAAAATCCTGTAGTGGTAGAGGTGTTAAGAGTATAAGCTGCAATGGGAAAGGTTAAGGTTTGAAGATATTATTCAAGGAGTATAATCCAGTGACATAAATTTGGAAAGAGAAAAAAAGTGACAGGGAGGATTCAGAAGATTAGAGTTTGGGAGAACACAAAGAGTGGATGCACCTGCTCCATTGCAAATGATTTCAAGCCATGTCATTCAGGGTCTCTAACCATCGGTTGCCATCATCTCTCGATCCCCAACCAGGTAGTCTACACCTACCAACATGACTCAGTTCACTTGTCAGTGACTTCATGGATTTGTGCCATGTTTTGGTCTGGCCGCCCTTAGCTTTCTTCCGACCTACTCCTACAACATAAAACATCGCACGTTGAGGCAGTCGGTGGTTGGGAAAATGTTAGTCGAGGTTATATTCCTGAAGATCAAAACAATTAATTAATCGTGAATTAAAATTATTGACCACAATGTATATAATGAGTAAATAAATAATCTTACCTGATACATAATTATTCATATAGTCTTCATTTGTAATGTTACGTTGATTTGTATTATTACCAGTGTACAACATGGCAGAACTCACTGAATTATATTTATTAACGTATGGATTATATGAAATATTATTAGTTGTATGATTACGACTTCTATAATCAAATTCTGGTATAATAGTTATTTGTTGACTTTCAGAACGTTTATATGGTGTTATTATAGAATCAAGACTAGTATCTTCACTATTTGTTGGTAAATTTAATTCAGATTGATATAACCATATAGTACGATTACTATTTTGAATATCAAGTGTATTTGTATTCGTTGGTGAAAATACAGTTGTATTATTATCTTCAACAGTTGATGTTGGACTTGGTTGACCACAAGATAAACTTCCACCAACTGAACGACTTTGTTCACGATATACACTTGTTGGTTTTAATAAATTTCCATCACGTAATAATAATGTAGATGAAATTGAATGAGATTTTGTATGTTGTATATCAGGATATTTAATTAAATTTGTAGGTATACCATTTAATTTATCACCAGATGGAGATAATAATTGATGAATACCATTAGTAGAATTCTTTGATGAATTATTTGTATCATTGTAACTCTGATGAAAAATTTAGAAAAAAACTTGTTTTTACTTATAGATTAATGAATAGTATAAAACTGACGAATGTTAATTAGTACCTGTATGTATGTGTGTATGTAACATTGAATTGTTGCGTTCGAAACTATGGAAACACATTCTTTAAAAAAAAAATTTTTTAGTCTTAGTTACAATGTTTCATACTGGAAAACAAAACAGCAGCAACAACAACAACAACAACTAAAAAAGGAACTTTCTGATCAATATGGATGTGATCCAATTGAAAACATGTGCTGTTTCTCAATGAACTGATAAATAATCTCTATCAACTGTCAATGAAATCAGTAGTATAATGAATATTGAATAAATTTCAAATTAAATTAGTAGTTTAATTGTTTGTTTGTTTAAAGAAAAAAACTTGGTAACTTGTTTAATCTGTGTATAGTTACTAATTCCAATCTTGTCAGCACAATTAAATTGTGATGACTGTTAAAACAAATACCATTCATATTAAAAATCCAATTGGATTTGTGTAAAAATAGAAAAAATAATGTGAAAGAGTGGGCAAATATCATTGATGGTTATAAATGACCTTAATTTTTATATGTGTACATTTCTATCATTATAGATTGTTATGTTTTAGATATTTTACCATTATATTTCAATGATCATTTTTCAAGTTTTTCATTTTGTTGTTGCACAATTATAAACACACAATAAAGATATTCACATTTTGTGTGTATGTGTGTGTTATGTGCAGGTGTATACAACAATTCTTATGAAACAGGGATATTTATTTGCTATGACTACTACTTCTATGTCATGTGCACATATATATATGTGTACACATATTTTTGCACATATATTTATGTGGGAATGAAAATACAACCCCTAAAATGGGGATATATATAATGCAATCAAAAATATTGATTGGGAATGAATGAACTATAAAAAGATTATTATTATTAGTAGTAGTAATAATAGCAGGGAGATGTTGGTAGGTGGAAAAATAACCAACTTAGGTAGCACTTTTTAACAACATAAACTCTATAATACAAATCACAGCTATCATTATCGTCATTATTCATATTACTAGTATTGATATTATTATGTTGTATGATATTTGATAGCATTTTGTTTTTGACTTAAACGATTGGAAATAATTTATAATAGTTACTATTTACAGTTTATAGCATAGAAACAATTCAAACACAAGGAAATGAACTATTAAGCACTATTTACACTTATGAGAAAAAGAGTATAAGTTAATATTTTATTTTAATAATTGAATTCATGAGTTGATATAAGCTAGATCACTATTGAAAGCCTGGAAACATTGGAAAGCCGTTTCGTCTTAGCATGGAACTCAGTAGTGCGTATTGACGAGTCCGAACGTGAGACTCGAACCTAGGACCTTCGGTTTTGAGCGCGAACGCGTAAACTACAAATCACTGGGCAGACATTCTAACTTCAGTTGATCCATTATCTTGCTCAACTCTTCATCCATTTGTCTGAGGTGAATAACTGTCTCTATCTACTAGTCATGGCTTTTCTTAGAACTCTAGGAAGTCCATCTTGAAGACGTATAGATATATATATCATAAATAATTTGATATAATTAAAAGGAGTGTCGTAGATACTGATTTCTAATGATTAAAAGCCCATCGAGAGACTCGAAAGTCCTGAGTATGATCCATGGTGAGGCCTTTTATGAGTATTCCTGATGAGCTACAAACTAGAATACAACAACTATTCAATCCCCTCTAATTTTCAGTGGTATGTTAACTGAGATTGTTTTTAGTAGAACAGTAGCGTAAGCTGTCAAATAAAAATTGTTTTTATGACGATTTTAAAGATTATCTACTAGTTTCTAGATTTCTTAAATTCAAAAGTCTCATAGGAAATTATTAATTCATCCATAGATCATGAACATTTATTATCATAATTTACTAATAAATTACTATCCTGTGTGGTAATACACTTAAGAAAATAAAATATCTCGTTTGGCTTTTCCCAACTTACGTTACCTACGGCAAATGCGACATGTCCGTCTATTAATTAAGGGACGAGTATACTGTGCGGCAGTCCGTTCTGTTCTTATTTACGGTTGCGAGACGTGGCCATTAAGAGTAGAAAATATTCGTAAGCTATGACGTAAGTATATGTCTTAGAAATATTGCTCGCATCTGCTGGGATCACCTAGTAAGGAAGGTTAGATGCAGGGTATTAAGGAATGATGGTAAATCAGTTGATGAGGTTGTAAATGTTGATCGACTGAGATGGTTGGCTCACCGATTACCACTATGCACAATGCTGACTAGTTTTGGAGATGGTTGGGAGAAAGTTAGGTACGGCCAAACCAAAACATGGCATCAGTGATTGAAGTCACTATCTTCTAGACTGAGCCATGTTAGTAGATGCAGACTACTTGGTTGGGGTCCACGTAATTATCGTAACCAATGATTGAAAACTCTTGGTGACATTGCTCAGAATCGATCACAACGGTGTAGGTGTATACAATTTTTGTCGTCCTTTAAACTATGAGATTAACATCGCTTTATATCATTCTTTTTACGAACTAATTTTTTCTTCCTGTACTATGTTCTTATATGCAATCTTTGTCTTATATATTATCACCATTGAATTAACTACTTCTATGAATTCGTTATTCATCTTATTGTGGTAATGAAGTATGGCAACATGGACCGATGCACATATGTGCCTGGTCCTACGTTGTAGCTGACTGACTGAAATAACTAGTATAATAATGTACATATAAAGCTTACATATGACTAAATTTTTATTAAAACCAAACTTCTCACCACAAATGAAGGTTAAGCACCATTTATATATTGTCTTTATTCTGTCTTAAACTGATAAAAGTATGAATTTTGTGCATAATAATCACAAATAATTTCATTTGTAATGGCTTAGTTTATACATAATATTTCATAAGTACACTAATTAGTATTTCATGTTATGCCTTGAGGATTGTTTTCATAGAATTTTGGTATATTAAATAGTGGAAAGAGATCGATGTTAGTATTTCAGCAAACTATCAAATCTATATAACTTATTTGATGGAAGTATCTTTTTCATAATTGATCTCTTGGATTAAGTCATTTATTGATCTAGTTGATATTGTGGTGTGAGCTACGTATATCCAGTATATAACGATAGTCAGGAATAGAATGTATTTTAGTAGAAGATCGAGAAGGAAAGAACGGAACAGAAAACAATTGGTATGAAAATCCAAGACCCATATCATTCATTCTCTAACCATTGGTTATGGTAACCACACGGACCTCAATCAAACAGTCTACACATATTAATTTGGCTCAGTTCAATTGTAAGTTATTCATGAACTAATACCATGTTTTGACTTGGCCGTCTCTAGCTTTCTTTCAGCCTACCGCTACACCAGAAAACATCGACCTCCTAGGTAAGCGTTTAGGATGTGTAACACATGTCCCAACCATCTCAGTTGATGAAGATTTACTACCTCATCAATCGGTTCCCCATTTTCGCCTAGTACTCTATTCCTAACTCAGGAATCGCTTACTCCATGATCTCGAAATACACGAGCGATGCTTCAAAGACACTTATGGTCGAATACCCGTAACCTAAGGATATTTTCTATTCCTAATGGTCATGTTTTATATCCATAAGGTAGAACTGAGCGAACTGCTGCGCAGTAAACTGACCCTTTGGTTGGAAGACGGATATCTCGACTACACCACAGGAGGCGCAAATTGACAAAAACCAATGGGTTCTACTGAATCCGTGCCGAGATTTCGACAGACACCAGACCACCAGGACTGATGAGAATCTCAAGACAAGTGAGGTGATCGATCTGTTCAACTACTTTACTCCCTATCACTAATTCAGGCACCAACGCAAGTCAATCCTGAATCGACGTTTTGCTCTTTAAGGGAGAGAGCCGCATCTCAACTATGGTTGCATTGTTGCTTAAGGTGGTCAGAAGACTCTACATTTTGTCGGTGCCTTCATCAAACAGAACTATATCATCTGCGTAAGTCAACAAGCAAATCTCGTGGTGGAAGATCAATCTCTGAAAAGTCGGACGATAAAAGATTTATCTCTAAAAGCATGTCCATGATGAAGTTAAATAAAACTGGGGAAAGCGAACAACCCCGACAAACTCCACTTGAAGTAACCAATTCCTATGATAGTTCGCCATTAGCAATATTCGAGTAGAGAGCCTGTACAGAGTTAATCTACTTCTTTTGGACGCCTTTGAATGACATACACTACCACAGAACCTCACGGTCAACGGAGTTGGACGTCTAGAAGTATGTCCGTTCCAGAATCTACAATAGGGTGGATATTTGATCTATGTATCTACTTCCAAGTCTCAAACCAACTTGGTTTAATCGGGTTCACTCGTCACGAGCTCTAGTTAAACATCGAAGTATTATTGAGGTTAATATTTTGGACACTATATTAGTTAAACTAGTTTCTCTGTGATTCTCACAAGGGGATTTTTATATTTTCTTCCAGACTGAAACCAGTCAGAGGATTACGTTCAGTTCCCAGATTCTAGCTAAAATCCTATTTGACCCAACTGCTAAAGCTGGACCATCAGGCCCTGCTGCTCTCCATCACTTTAGATTACTTTTAGCCTTTTCAATATCACCAAGAGTTTGCCTTTCAAGTTACATGGAGATAATGGGTAAATGAGGTGTGTCTGAAGGCTAGTTGAACTGTTTTGCCCATCGGCTCAGTCTTCTGGATTGAGAGTGAGTGATATATTCATCTGTTACCGAGATAGTTTCGCCAACACTTGGATTCTTAATACACGTCTTCTTGATAAGTCTGAACAATTGTATACCGCTACCTATCACTGCTGCCTTTTCCATTTTTTCCGATCCTCCTAACCACCACTGATCACAATCATTACGTAGGCTCTTTATGAATCCACTTTTAATCTTCCTCTGCTCCTCACCATATTCGGAGCCAGATGGGATGAGTTTCCGTGCAACTATCAGTTCAGTAGGCAC